GGGTCTCTCGTCCGCTAGACTGGGAGCTCCTTGAAGGCAGGAATCGGATCTGTTTCGTTTCAATTTCCCAGCCCCCAGCGCGGCCTGGCGCAAAAAGACGCACGATAAACATTTGCTGAATTGAACGGATTTTTCCATTTTATTAATCCTTCCCCTTCTTCTTTCCTTCCTTCCTTTCCTCCTTCCTTCCTCCCTCGTTATTTTTTATTTCTTGGTTATATTCAATTGTCATGTTTTTCAGGCTCATTAAATCCATTTAGAGACAAAAGAATAAAAGGCAGAAGGGGAAGGAGGGGGAGGAGGGGAGGGGGAGGGGAGGGGAGGGGAGGGGAGGGGGAGGCCGGAGAAGCAAACAAATAACCCGCTTTAACTAGACGGGCGGATAAATGGCCCCGTTTCTCCTCAGCCCCGATGCGCCTGCTTAGCCGCGCGCCCCGCGGGCGCCGCAGCTCCGGTGGGCTCAGCCCCAGGGCCGCCGCCCCCAACCCAAAGGGACCCAGCAGGGCCCAGCCCGGGGGCCGCGAAGCAGGGAGCGGCCTGAGGTGCCAGGGCCGCTTCATTGGGATTCATGGGCGTGTTGGGCGGGCGGCCCCGGGCTCCGGGCGCGGGGCGGGGGCCGGGCGGGAGGGGGGTGCGCAAGGCGGGCGCAGATGCCCGGGTGACCGCCGCGCCGCGGTCCCTGCGCCGCCTTTGTGCCGGGGAGGCGCGCGCGGGGACCTAATCCATCAAATTGTCTACAAATTGTGAAGAAAATTCAAAAACCATATGGTCGCCAGCGCCGGCGCGCTCTGGGCTGCGGAGGGCCGCGGCCGCGCCCGCACCCGGAGCCGCGGGGGGCTGGGCCCGGCTATTGTCGCCTGTCAGCGGCCGCCCGGGTCCATTCGTCCCGGCCTTCATGGTCCGCGCTCCGAATTACAGACCCATCCATCCTGAGAGAGGGCGATTTATGTCGCCCAGGAGGAACCAGCCGCACGCCCGCCCGCTGCCCGCTGCCTGTTTCCTTCTTTCGTTCTCTCCTCTCTCTTCTCGCCCCTCTTCCAATTCCCTTTTTCTCCCTCTTTCTCTGTCTCTCTCTCTCCGTATAGCTTTTCCTCTTTCTCTTCCTCATCCCTGTCTCTGTGGCTCTCCACTTTCTCGCTCTGCTTTTGGAGTGTCTTTCTGTGCTCCTTTTTCTGTTTCTCTGTCTCTCAGTTTCCTCCAGGACGCGCGCGTTCCCAACTCAGGCCCCGGGGCCCCATCGCCTGCCCGAGACCAGATGCGCATTTCTCACATCAATTTTGCGGAGAAAGAGAGCCGAGCAGCCCGGAGGCGGGACCCTCCTCTGGTGACAGCGGCCACTCGCCAGTCCAGCGACAACAAAAGCCCAGAGAGAAACCTGCTCAGTCTAGAAAAGTGAAAGCTGCCTGTGTCCCTGCCCCAGCCGCCCTGAGGGCGCGGGGACCCCAAAGAGTCCTTGGGGGATTGATGTCTCTGCCCCCAGCCGAGTTTGGGGCCCGGAATTTGTAAAGTTACCAGAAATTCACCACAATTCTCAGACACCTAGGGCTCCATCTCCCCGTGCCCGTGCCGGTGCGCGCGATTCAGCCTGCCCTTGGTGCCTTCAGCTTCATTGTCCTTCCTCCTCCAAGGGTGAGATCCTTTGGCGAACCACAACTTAGGAGCCCTCAGGCTCCACCCTGCTGTCCAACTGAGCTATACCTGCCATACATCGGAGGCTTAGCAGGCGTCCCAGGCAGAGCGGGAAGAATGCCTGCCCTTCAGTCCCACGTGGGAGGCACGAACCGCGGTGCAAGTCTCCCCCACCCACTCTTTGCCCCACACGAATTAATTTTCCACCCTTGGCGCCCCTAACGTACGCACGCATTTTCTCCCAGCGCTCCGCGCCTCCCTTTTGACCCGGACCTGGCGAAGCCCGCTTCTCTCGCCCCCCACCATTTGGGAGCTGCCGCGTGTTCTCCGGCGAGGAGTGTCTTCTCCTACTGCTTTCCTTTCATCTCGAATTCTCACGCCTGCCCTGAAACTCCAAATCTCCAAGGCCTGGCAGCCGGCGAGGAGCAGCGGCAAGATAAGCGAGCCTGCCGCGATTTCCCCCAATAGGGCCCGCTCATTCAGACACGGTCACCGCGGGTTCTAGTAAAATGGCAAAGACTTTATTTATCGGAGAAAGAGGCCTTGGGTACAGTCCGGGGAGGAGAGGGCAGGAGCAGGGAAGGGACACGCGAGACCCACCCTCATCCGACCACCCTTGTCTGGCCAAGTCGAGCTAGGAGCAGGGCATTGAGGACTGCAAGACAGACCCAGAGCTGCGGAGGAGGTGGGGTGAGGGCTTAAGTCGGCCTCCTCTCAGTCTCTGTCACATGCAAAAAAATTCTAAAAAGAGTAAAAAATAATTCTAGGGCTTTGGGTTCCATTTTCGTTTGTTGCTTGGTTGGTTTCCCCCTGCTTTGTCCCTAAGAGCCGGACCCTAGCAGTCAGTCCAAGGAAACAGAGAGAGCGTGGGGAGGAATCTTGAAAATAGCGTTAGTGGGCATGGGGAGACAGAAATGGCATCGAAAACAGACTTCTGGCGGGGTGGGGGGGCGGGGAGAGATGGATTTAAAACTTGCAAGTTGGGATCTGGCTGTCCCCCTCAGCCCCTTCCCACTCGGGGCAAAAAGGCAGAAGGAAATAAAAAAGTCAACTGCAATAGGCCAAGGGAGGTGAGAAGGGAGAGGGCCGGTGCATTCGCCACATGCAGAGAAAAATCAAAACAGTCGGGGCGGCCCCCTCCTCCAGACCGCGGGGTTAAGTGTTCATTACCCTCGATTCTGCCTCGCCCTCAGCAAACCCAGCAGCCTGAGAGCTTTGAAAACATGGAAATCTCCGAGATTTTAAAAAATAAAAGAAAGAAAAAAAAGTCAGGCTGTGGTGGGAAGAACCCGCTACATCGGTTTAAATATTTATACAGAAGCCATACAGAATTGCACGGCGAGGGCTCCCAGGGCGGCGAAGGCCGCGCTCGGCGGCCGGCCCGGCCGGCCAGCCCGGGTTTATTGCTTCGAGAAGGAAGAGGCAGCTGCCGGGAGCCGAGTCCGGGCCAGGGACAGGGGAGAAGGCGGGAGTTGCAGAGGAGGTCCCAGCTCCCCTCGGTCCGGTCCGGGAGGCGGCGGGCATACGGGCGCTAGGGCAGCGGCGGCGGCAGCAGATCCCGGGCGCCGCTCAATCGTCCACGTCGATCTCTTCGTCTTCCTCGTCCTCCGAGCAGTCCTGGCTGCTGGCCGGCTGGTCCGTGAGCGGGGAAGAGGGCGAGAGCTGCAGGGGCCCGGCCCCCGGGGCCTGCGGGGCGCCTGGGGGGAGCGCCGGAGAGCCAGGCCTCGACTTGGCCCTGCCGCAGCCGCCGCCACCGCCGCCCGCGGCCTCCGAGTTCTGCTCCAGTTCAGCCAGCGCCACGATGTCCATCTGCCCGCTGGGGCCCAGTTTCTTGGCGGACTCCACGTCGGCCTTCATCTCCTCCAGGTCCCGCTTGAGCTTGGCGCGCCGATTCTGGAACCAGGTGATAACTTGAGCGTTGGTGAGGCCCAGCTGCTGCGCGATTTGGTCGCGATCGGCGGGGGACAGGTACTTCTGGTAGAGAAAGCGTTTCTCCAACTCATAGATCTGGTGGTTGGTGAAGGCCGTGCGGGACTTTCGCCGCTTCTTGGGGGTCTGCCGCTGCCCAAAGATGGTCATCCCGTCGCGGCCTGCGAGGAAACCATAGTACAGGCTTGCGCCAGGGGAGAGAAGACCCCCACCCGGCTGTCGCTCACCCCACCCAGGCCCATCGGCCTGACATCAGCCGCTGTTCCCTTCTCGGATTTGATTCGGCCTCCTGGACTAGGGTAAGCTTCGACTCTCGCAAACCCCTCTCCCCCGTTTCTCATCTACCGGAAGTCCCTAGGAAAAAATTGTTTTGGTCTTTGCTCCCCCACCAAAGAGTTGGTTTGAAAGACCCGAGGTCGCCAGAGCACGAGGGAACCAGACAGGGACGCTCTGACTGCAATGTAAAGGTTGGTCCTCCACTTCTTCCCAATCACCCTGACTCTACCTACTGCCACCCAAAAGGTCCCAGGAAAAGGCTCTCCGTTCCCCACCCCAGGAACAGGGCTAGCAGCGCCCAGGCCACTGGGAACGGGAGGGAACCGGGCAGATCAGGCAGAACTGCGGAAAGCTCTTGGGTTCCCTCCACCCCTCCCCGGTCACTCGACTCTGGCCTATCCAGAGGTTCCTAGGAAATAGGGTTTGGGTCCTGTCCCACCCACCTCCACTCCCAGCGGCAGCGGCTTGGGCTGGAGGGCCCTGACGGCCGGCGCGGGAGGAGTTAGGCAGAGGCACAGGGCACGGAGCAAGGGGCACAGGGAGAAGTGCGCGGGCTGCTGGACGCAGGGGAACCCAGTGCCTACCTTCTGCTGCCTGCAGGACGCTGACCTCCAGCCCCTTAAAGGTCTTGCTGGCGAGTTCCTCCAGCGCGCACAGCGGCGAGGTCTGCGAGAGCAGCGCGCGGCCCGCCAGGGGCAAGCCGCCCGGCGCGTGCTTGTCCGCAGCCGCCAGCAGGTGCGCCGCCCCGCACAGCGAGTAACTTCTCCGCACAGACGGCTTGTTGAGGATATCCTCGATGCTGAACGGCGTCAGCGGCTTGTTGGAGTTGGCGGGCGGCGGCAGGTGGTCCAGAGGGCTGCGCCGCCGCTCCTCCCCCGGCGCCGCTTTGCCGTCCTCCTTGGAAGTCATCTCGGCCTCGTTTGGGGGCCCGGCCGGGGCGGCTCGGGCCGCGGGGACCCAGCCCGCGGGCAGCTCGGGCGCCGGGCGGCGCGGGCAGGCAACGACGGCGGGCGCGAAGAAGGCCGCGCCCGGTAGGGCGCGGGCCGGGCGCTGGGCCGATTAGCGCAGCGGCAGAGGCGAGCAGAGCCGCACGGGGCCCCGGGAGGAGGGCGCTGACGCGGGCGCCGCCACCGCCGCCGGGGCTTCCAGCAATCCGGGGCCCGAGCCGGGGCGAGCCGCACGGGGCTCCAGTTTCGCCAGCCCCGGTGCTATTTAAAGGTGTCAGGTGGCTCCGCGGCGGCTCCTGGCCCCGGGTCCTGGCGGCGGCAGTTGGAAGAGCCGAGGCGAGGACGCCGATCCCGTACTGCGAGGGGAGGCGGAGAGATGGGGCAATTGACTATTGCTAACAAGTTAGCCTTGATCGAGGAGTAATCAATTATCTGCAGCGGCACTTCTCTCCCTCTCTTTCTCTCTCCTTTCTCCCTTTCTCCTCTCTCTTATTTCTCTCTGTTCTCTCTCCGCCTGTCTCTCTCTCCCTCCCTCCCTCCCTCTCTCTTCTCTCTTCTCTGCTCCCCCCGTCTCTCTCCTTCTCTCCCTCTCCCTCGTCCTCTGTTTCACTCTCTGTCTGTCCAATGCAGGCGGCTCTAAGTTGGGAAGCTCATTAATTAGCGGGCCGGGGGTAGGAGGAGCTGGCTGGAATTAGCCTGCCTAATGCGCCTGTCAGTCCGGGCGCTGCGCCGCGCTCGGCCCGAGCTGTTTGTAAATTACATTAGCAGCGCCTTTATTGCACCCGAACCTCCGGCGACTGAAAAGCCGCCGCCCCCACCCCAAACTGCGAGCCGCGCTCCTGGCGCACCCGCCTCCCACCGGCCTGGCTGCGATGGCAGCGCTGGCCCGGAGGTCTCAGGCTCTCCGACCCGGGATTTGGCGCCCGAGAAGGACGGCGAGAGCCCAGCCAGGGAGGTACGCGGCCGCCGCGCGGACCAGGTAAGAGCAGGAGCTTGGGTGGGTCCCGCCGCCGCCCAGCGCGGACTTTGCCCAGCTGAGATCAAAGACCCAGCGCCCGTACCCCTAGACCCTCTTGCCCCTCACCCGCGGCCTTGGGCCACGCGCCTGGGGAGAGGGAACCTGCAGCTGCCGGGCTGGCCCGCGGGGCGTCCGAGTAGGCTCTGCAGCCCTGGGTGAGGCGAGAAGGGACACGGGGGTGGGGGACCCCAGGGGCTGGGGGAGGGGGCCATTCAGAGGACTTAGACTTCCCCAGTCGAGAGGCAGAGGGAGGAGTTGGTGGCTCTAGGCTCCTCTCCCCAAGCTTGAGCCCGAAGCGACAGCCTTACCTCCTCCGGCAATCTTGCACACTCTTTCCTCGGGCCGCGGCTCTCCGGGCCGGCTGGGGCCACGGCCCGCCTGGTGGCAGGCGTCCGACCGGGCAGCCGGGCCGGGTGCCGGCGCTAACGGGGCCGGCCCGGGGCCTCCCCGCTGCGCTCTGCCCGGGCCCCGGCCGGGGCCCCGCTGCCGGCCCCGCCCAGCCCAGCGCCGGGCTCGAGTGTACCGCCCGGCCGGCCGACTCCAGCTGTTCCGGATGCGGGGCGGGGGCTGGAGGGGGCCGGGCCAAGGCAGGGGCTGCGCACTCAGGAACCCGCAGAGGGGCCGGTTCGAGTCAGACCGGGGACTGGGAACCCTACGGCCGGCCGGACTCTGTGCGTATCGGGCGAGCATTTGTGTGCATCGGTATTTGAATGTGTTTATATTTTTGAATATGTATGTTTGTGTGTGGTTCTCCATGTGCATATTTGTGTAAACATATGTGAACATGTGGATATTTAGGCGTGTTTGAATCCCTACCTATATCTTCCATTCCCCTGAGGCACCAAGGGGGCTGTGCCCCCAGGCTCTTTTCTCTCTTGCTTCCCTCCTCTGGTTTGTGTGGGGCCATTGGCCCGCCATCCTAATTTTCCATTTCTGGCCCTGGAGAAGGGAGGGGAGGAAGAGGGACTTGGAGTCAAGGGAAGAAGAGCTCTTCCGCTCCCCACAGATAGCCCCAGCCCTTTCCCTGGCTTTGTTTGTAAACTCCTGAGCAGGCAGTGTGGCCTGGTGCCCGTTTGGTGGAGAGAAGGGCCCAGAGAGGCCAGTGCAGAGGACTGTGGCCCAGCCCAGAGTTTGGGATGGGAAGAATAGGACCTCTTGGGTTTCTTGCCTCCCATAGCTGCCCTAGGAGGGAGCGGGCCAAGCTGGGCTGTGGGGCAGGGGACAGGTTCTCTCCCTGGATGCTTCCAGCATAGGGACCGCCATGCGTCAGAGATGGATTTCTTTATCTCCCATTTAGTTATTTGTTTGGAATATGGCTTGCAGCTCTCCAGAGTAAAAAGGACTGCATAGAGAGAAAGGATTCTTGTTTGGGACCCCAGTGCCTGCCTCAGGCCTGCTTGGGAGTGTTGGGAAGAGTTCCTTACCCTCTTCCCCATCTTTGTCCTGAATTTTGGGGGGAGAACAGATGCTCAGAGGCAGGAATGGTGAGAATGGGATTCTCAGTTCCCCCAGAGCTGCAGAACTATCCCCAAGGCAGGCCTGTCTCTGATGCCTCAGTGCTGCTCTGGGAGCCACGAGGTGATGCTGGGCCTAGCAACCGTGGAGCTGGAGATGGTGGAGAGGGACCTGAGGGAGAGGGTGCCGGGGAGCCAGACCCTGCTGGCTTAGAAGCTCTGCGATCAAGAGGGTTCTGCCCTCTCCTCTCACTTTCTGCTCTCAGGATCCTGCTTCAGCCTCTGGCTGGCAGTCCTTTCCTGCCACGACCCCAAAAGCTGTGGCCCAGAGCTTTAGGCAAGCCACATCCGGCAGGCCAGCAGATGAGGCCCCTCCAGACCAGGGAAGGGGAACTCTTGGGTCCCTATCATGGGAGCGGATCCCTCTCATACTCCACCTACCCCCCATTCTTCTGTCTATTTCTGTCTTTGCCCCTGATATTGGCCTGCAGGATAGGATCTTAAGGACAACCCTGCTGTTGCCCATCTCCCGGTCCCTCAGGACCAGCAGAGTTCAGGGTTACTGTGAGGCTGCCAGGAAGGTGAGGAATGTGAATTGGGAGGCAGAGGGGTGGGAGCATAGAATTCCTCCACTGGGGCCCTGTTTCATGGGACCTTTAGTTTTCTGCCACATCGTGTCAAAATGGACAGGACATTCCACAGCCGTCTGTTGTATTACTCCTTCCTTCCACTGTCACCAAACCTCTTCTTTCCTTCCTGGCTGGTACCTGCCGCCCTATCCCGAGGCTTTGCTTTTTGTTTTGTTTTGTGTTTTTTTTGGCCAAATTGGGTTGAACTCTCAGGCAAACGGCTCCACACAGCTAGGGGTTCAGGGGGCATGTGGTGCCACCCCTCATTTTGTTGCTTAGGGTCTCCTGCCTCCATCATCTCATCCAGGCCATCTTCAGAAACCAGCCCAACTTCCCCACCGACCTTTTCCCAACCCAGAGGTTCTCCCAACTCCAGACTCCAGTGCGTGGGTGGCTGGGGTCTTCTGAACTCCTGGGAGCCCAAATCCACCGGCTTCCCAGACACCTCCTGCAGAGCAAGGAGCTGTGGTTTGGGTTTGCACAGACTCACTCCCTCTCCCTCCAGACTGGGAGATCCTTGAGGGCAGGGATCTTGATGCACCCAAGACCTGTGCAGGCCTGGCTGAGCCCCGGGCACCCTCCGTGTATTGTATTGCATATTGATTAAATGAGTTTTTGTTGAGCAAATGGAGGGCGAAGGATTGTGTATTGTGGAAGAGGAGGAAGACTTGGGCCTTGACTGTTCCCCTTCAGAGGAGATTTGGAGATTGTGAGAATTGGAAAGGGGAGTAACTCAGGGGCAGTGGGGTGGGGGTTAGTGAGAAGGAACCCTGCCATCTCTCTCCAGGATCTAACCTTCCCAACTCCCTGCCTGGGATCCAGTGCTGGGTGGGAAAGACACTCTGGGCCCCCCCAATCCCAGTCGGCTGAACCGGTGTCATCTCCCCGGAGCTGGAAGCAGCTGGTCCCTGGAGTCTGCTCCCGTAGAGGGAATGCCTTTCTTCAGAGCCCGGTCTACACTGTATCCTGGCTCCCGAATTCCTGTTTGCTGCCTATACTGCCAAGGTCCAGCCTGATTCCCTCTCCAGTGGAAGGGGAAGGGATTATTCTGCTTTCTCTCTAGTTTAGTGAATGTTCTAGACAAGGAGGAAAAAAAGAGCATTGCATGAATTGCCCGGATAAGGGGACCCTGTAGACCCAAGCAAAATGAGTTATTCCTTAGCTCAGGAGAATAATTCAAGTAACCCCCCAAAGGCTCCATCGGCTTAAATCCAGATTGTTTTGGTAGCCCCATTCCTTTCCAGATTATTTGTGTAAGCACCAGTGTTGGCCCTCAGGCCAGAGCTTCCCACAGAAAAAAGGTTCTGACACCGCTTGAAATGAGTTGACTTGACCACCAATAGGGATCATTTTTGTCCCCCAGGGACCTGCTACTTCAACACTCCTTGTGGAATTCAGAGTGTTTCTTCTGCTACAGAAGTAGACTCCGATAGATGGCCTCCTGCTACCCTAGCTGAACCAGGACTGCCAACTTGGTTTTTATATTCTGCCTTGGGCCACTGTCTGCAGTAACAACAAGAACAATAACAATGACAATAAACACCGTAAGCCCTTACCATGTGCCTGGCTTCAGGCTAAGAGTTTTATTCATTTCATTTACTACTCACAACCCTATGAGGTAGCTACTGCTATTACCCCGATTTCACATATAAGGAAAATGAGGCCCAGAGATGTTAAGCAACTCATCCAAAGTCACACAGCCTGTTTTGGAGTAATTAGGATTTGAAGACCAGTTTTTCTCACTCAAGTCTTAATCCTGGAATCAGGGGGTTCTTAACCATAGGCTCTTTGAGTGGGCTTCAGGGGCTCTGCACATCCTAGAAATTGTGTATAAAATTATGTATGAGAGCCCAAGTGGACACATTTTTCCAGGGGCAATATTACGTAACACATTGGATTCTTGAAAGGGGTCGGAGATCCAGAAAAGGTTAAGGCCAGAAGCTGGCCAATAGGGGAAGGAAGACGGAAGCTGCCTTCCTGTAGGCTTGGGGAGCCAGGAGCCAGCTGCTCCAAAATTCAGGCTGAGCTCCAAGCCTGCTTCTGGACCTTCCCTGCTGTCTCTGGCCAGGCCCAGCTCTCTGGACCTCCTCTGGCAGAGCGGTGGGGGCAGGGTCTATGACCAGAGCACCCCTCCCTTCTTCTCCTCTCCCACTTGTTTTGTGAACAGAACTCCTTCAGAGCCTAGTGACAGGGTGGCCGCACTACTTGGGTGGACCACTTCCAGGCACTTTAGCCCTGCCTGGGGGGATTGGCTGCCCTGTGGAAGTGTAGGGGTCATAGACAGACCGCTGAGAGATAGAGACAGGTAGAGATGAGAAGAGATAGTTCCCATTCTCTGCAGTCCCCCAGCCCTCTTTTTTGGTCCCCAGCCTTTGCTCCCCCATCCTGGGGCAGAAGGGTCTCTATTGCTTCCCTTCCTGGCACCTCTTGCTGTTTTTTGGGCTCAGTTCATCTTGGGGGAGACTTCCCTGCCCTGTTCATTTTCTCTGTCCTCCTTAGCAGCCCCCTCCTTGGAGTCACCATCAGATTGCCAGGAACAGGCTGGTTTGTCTGTCTGACCTTCTGCCTCTCTCTCCACCTGTCTGTGAATTTGGGGAGGAAGAGACCTGGATCTCCTCTCCATGCCCTATGCCAGTCTGGCATATACCAAAGGCCCCTCGTGCATTCGTGGAATAAATAAACTAGATGAATAAGAGACAAAAGAGAGAGCCAGGCAGGGACCTCAGCCTGTGCCCCAGAGAGAGGACCAGGGAGGAGAGGAAAGGGTAGGTGCATTGTTTTGCCAGCTGCATGCAGATGTGTGAGGCGCCCCTGCTGCTCATACCTCCAGCATACACACAGGGGCACAGAAACCTCATTCTTTAATGTTTTTTGGTCGTGGAGGGGTGGGCCTGGGTTCTGGACCCAGCTGTGGTATGACCTGACTCGGGAATGGAGTTTGTTCACTCTCTCTCTCTCTCTTTCTTTTTTTTTTTACAAAACAGGATTGAGCTCCCTCATGTTTTGGCCCAGAATTGGGGAGGAAGAACAGACAGAAGATGGAGGGTGATGGGCAGGCAGGAGTGGCAGGAAACAGACACCCCCACCCCAGTAGCCCAGGGAACTGTGAAGAGGTTAAAGGATGAGTGGGAGGAGTCTGGTTCTGTCCCCAAGGAGGTGGCATTTGAGTTGAGCCTTGAAAAACCAGGAGCATTTGGAGAGGTGCAGAGGCGAGGACCACTCTCCAGGCGCTGGGAACAGCCAAGCAGCAAGCCAGAAGTGTCAACCCAGAGGGGGAGCCAGAATGTCCCCACATGTCCTCCCTCGGTCACCTAGGCTGCAGGTCAGGGTGAAATCCTTGGTCCCTTGAGCGCCCTCCTCAGGTCTGCAGCCTGGAGCAGGGGCTGGTGGGCTCCTGGGATGGCTATTTGGGGCTGCAGTGGGAGGGGGCAGTTGGAGAGAGGCTGCAGCCCCAGCCCTTGTTGCTCCTGGGCCTACAATGGGGGTTCCATTTTCCTTGCTGCCCTCAGAAGCTCCCAGAGCTGATCCTCTCTCTTACTACCCTAGTTGGCCCAGGGACTCCTGGGTCTGAGCAAAACCTCAAATGTTAGTCAGTGCCACCCATTCCACAGAGGTCTCATTGCTTGTGGGAATGTGCCAGGCTGCAGGCCAGGCAGTGGGGCCTAGGTTAGGCCGGGTGGATAGGCAGAGGGACCCGAGCCGGGAGAGGTGAGGAGACCGAGGAGCAGCCTAGCTCGCTTAGGCAGGAAAGGTCTGAGTCAGGCTTCGCTTAATAAACTGCACGTGAATAATTCAGCAGCAGCGCTGGGAGCTCATTGCATTAGCGCCACCGCCCGTGCCACCCCTTGCGTTCGCGCTGAGTGGAGGGGGTCGCTAACACGCTTTGGGAGGGGAGCAAGATAGAAGACCCCCTGCCCGCTCGTATCCTGGATTCTGCCCCGGCCAAGTCCCGGGAGACTCCCTGGTCCGCGATTTCCTCGGGCACCACTGGTCAGCGGGCCGCCTCCTGGGCCGTCCCAGCTAAGGCGCTCTGAAGAACCGGGGCAAGAGAAGACAGGCGGATGGACCAAGGCCAGAATAGGGCACGCGGGGGTCCGACCTGCGGGTAACCGAGCTGCCGCAGTGCCCAACCGCACACAGAACGTGGGCGCCGTGGCTCTGGGCAAAGTGGAGAAGGCAGGCTCAGTTCTGTGCTCAGAGCCCGGATGCCCTGGGGCTGCTTCGTTCAGGCCGGGATTTTGCCTGCGATCAGAGTGAAGCTCCAGGGAAGCCGCAGGACCCTCCACCCTCTGTGGATCCCCAGGTTCCCGGGCCTCTGCCCCAGCCTCTCCCGGACCCGCAGAGCCCGTTCTGGCGGCGCCAGGCACAAGCGTCAGGCCCGGCCCCTGCCCTCGCCTGCGCGCGGAAGGGAGCCCCAGGCTTCTGGGCCTGAGAGAGAGGCTAAGTGCTTAGCGCCCGCAGCCTTATTTCGTTTGCGTGAATCAGCTCCCTTTGGCTTTTCCACTTCCTACGTGTAGCTGGGTGGGTTCCTGCTGTTGAGGGATCGCACTCATCCCAAGAAATGTCCACCGACGCTTACTTCCTCCAGCTCCACCCCGCGGTCCTTCGCTTCCATTAGGTCGGTCCCACCCTCTCTTCAGCAGCCTCCCTACTCCTACGTGGTGAACCCGGGGCCGAGACCCTCGCACCGGCCCGGCTGGCCCACCTGGGGCCTGATCTTCCCCGGTGTCCAGGCAGCCAGACCAGAAGCCCCGCCGAAGTCAGCTCGCGTCCCCCTCCCCCGCTCCCCCCTCGCCCTCCCACCCCAAAGAATCTTCCTCTTCTGCCGCTGCCGCCTCCTCCTCCTCCTCCTCCTCCTCCTCCTCCTCCTCCTCCCTCCGCCTCTACGCATTTCTTTCTCATTCGTTTTTCTTCGTTTGCTGAAGTGGGGTCGGCCGCAGCCCCCGGCCCTTTGGGGGAGGCCTGGGTTTACTCTGCCCGATCTCAAGGCCTCAGCCGGGGCGCTGGGTTCGCGGCCAAATTTCGAATGGCTTCCGAAGCAGGGAGGCTCTGGCGTCTTCGCAGAGGTGAGATGAGCCGATGGCACCTTGACCTCAGACGGCTCCACCGCCGGCCGGCTGAGTGACCTTGTGTAAGTCTCTTAACATCTCTGAGCCTTGACGGGGGCAAAAGTCAGGAGATTTAGGGAGGCTGAGGGAAGACTACGCGTTTTCATTCGTTTAGGGAAAGGGGTTGCCTGCTTTGGGTCCTAAGATTCGCGAAAATTCTAGGTCTGAAATGGCTATTTATTTTAACGGATATTTCGGGAGCAGCTGGTAGTTGCTTTTTCTTTTCCTTTTTTACAGCTGATGGGATGCCTGACGCTAGAAACTTTCTCTCCAATCCTCACCACATCTCCATTCTATCCAAGAGGAAACAGGTTAAGATCTCTGCGCGCTGGTCAGCGCCACAGGTGGGATTCGAACCCAGATTCGGTTCGGGAACGCTGTTGAGTGGAAGCCCCGCAGCCTCGCCCGCCTTGGGCTGGTGAATCGAGCCCTCGCAGGGCCGACTGCAGGCCGATGCGGGGCTAGGCGGGGGGAGGCTGGGCTGAATCTTCAAGCCGTCCCTTTTTTCTGTGCTGGGAAAGCTTTGAAATTCTAATTTTCAGGTAAACGGTTTTAGCGGCTTCCAGAGACGGATGGAAATGAGACCCAATGAGGGACTTCCGGCAGGTTCTGGGAGAGCCCCTGGGGCGGGACGGGGAGGGCACCATCCCGGAGGCCCAGCTCGGGAGGTGGCATTGGCAGGGCCAAGGGAGAAGCCATCGCTCCCCGATTTTTCCTCCTTGGAGTCTGTCCATCTGCTCATGAGTCTGTCCTGTGCGGCCTACGTCCCCGGAAGGCCTGGACCGAGGGGGGAAGGCGCACGGCCCGCCCAGGGCATTGGTGATGGGGGGACCACCCCTCCTCCGCCCCCTCCAGGGGCGCCTCGCCGAGGGCGGGTCCTCCCAGCGCAGAGAGGGCCTGGCTGGGGGGCAGCCGGGCGGCGCCGGCTGGAGGCCCGAGCCTGGGGAGCCCTGGCTGGGCCGGGAGGGGCTGGAAGCCGGGTCCCCGCGGCCCCGTCCCGAGCGCCCGCCGCCAGGTCGCCCCGTGGCAGCCCCGACAGGCCACGCGTCCCTCGACACAAGTCCCATTACATCGTATTTATGTTTCACTTTATTGTTTTTTCCCTCTCTTATTATTGTCTCACACTGGGGGAGGCAAAGGATATAATATATTCATCTTTATTATACCAAATCTGTGTGAAGCATTTAATAAAACGCTGTTTCCACACAGCCAGGGATATTAGTGTGAGCTATTCTTCAGTTAATGCTCGGCTCTGAGCGCGCCGCCACAGCGCCTGCTGCTGGCGGGCGGGGGAAGCGCGGGCCCTGGGCGCCCGAGCCCCCCGAGCCCCGGAGCCCCCGAGCCCTCGAGTCCCCCGAGGCCCCGAGCCCCCCGAGCCCCTCCCCCAGAGCCCCCGAGACCCCAAGCCCCTCCCCTCGAGTCCCCCTCCCCCCCCTCCCCCCAATCCTCCCGAGGCCCCCGAGGCCCCGAGCCCCAAGTCCCCGGCCCTGCCCCGCGGCTCAGCCAGCCGCCCGTTCTCGCCATGCTCGGGGGACCCCGCGGCTCCGCCTGACAGGCGGGTGCAAGCCCCTCCTGCGTGCCAGCCGTGGGCCTTGGTTCGCGCCTGTGAAATGGGAAGGAGAATTCTATAGGCAATTTCCTCTTCGGGCTCTTTCTTGGAGGCTGAAGAGGCCTGGAGGTGGGCAGGGCTTTATCAACAGGAAAGAAAAAAGCGAGGATTTGTCAGAACGGAGTAGATGAAGGCCAGAGAGAAACGAGGAGGTCACCAGAATGGTTCTAGGCAACAGAGACGCCTAAGCTGGAGCCCAGCCCAGGCGAGGGAGCAGAGTGCATGTCCAGTCTGAGCAGAGCCCAGAAGGTTTCAGCGAGCCTGGGCCTCCCCCCCAGGGGATAAAGCGCCGGAACTTGGTAAGGATGTTGGCCAGCTTCCCGAGGGTGGGCAGTCTCTGTAGTCCAGTTTACAGCTAGGGAATTGAGACTCAGAAAGGTCAAGCGGCTTGTCTGAGGCGACCCAGCTGTAGCATCTGCAGACTTTTCTTCCCGCCCTACCCTAGTGTTCCTGCTCCCTGCCTCCCCCTCAGCGCCACCCCCCATGCCTATCTTTCAGGGTTTTCCATGGCCTATAAACTTTACATTCTGCTTTCTACACACACACACACACACACACACGCCTACCTACCCGGGATGTCCATGATGGGGAGAAACAGTCATATGACTTTCCATATCCAGGCCCACTGCCCAATGTCCTTTAGAGCCCACTGCCTGGGTTCTTTTATGGCCCAGATCTGGGCGCACCAGCCTTCCTTAGGCCCTTCTACCAGTGCTGTGGGGGAGAGTTGGGGGCAACTAGGCCAGGCCAGATGGAGGTGTTGTTCAGGAAAGGAATGGAGTGGGTGGGGAGCCCCTGGGTATGACTAACACCTTCCCGTCATCCTCCTCTGTCCCCATCACCTCATCCTTGGGGGCTGTACCAGCTCACCCCATATCCTGTGGGCTGCTGGTGCGAGCTTCTTTGGAGGCTAAGGGTACTTGAGAAGTCTGACAGCTCCCACCTGGGGTTGGCTGGGGCAGGAGGGCCCAGACTCTCTGTGTGGCAGGGCTGGAACTAGGGTGAGGCGAGTAAGGTGCCTAGGACACAAAATTTCAGGCTGCCCTCAGAGTTGTGAGCAACCCCTTACATTTTGTGTTTATGCATCTCCCTTGCCTTGCCCTAGTGCCAGCTCTGCTGTGTGGTCTCAGGGGTGGGATCACCATGATCGCCAAGCGGGGATGGAGAGGGGGGTTTCAGCTCATCCCTGTGGGTGACTTTCTGAAGGGTAGAACCGTAAACAGTGGATGAGCTGCCTTGGGTGGGAGTGAGCTTCCGCAACAAGTAGGGTATGCTTAGAACCTGCTGAGAAGGCTGATAATCACAGCCTTGTCATTGTCATCTTTGTCAGTTTACTGTCACTTACTTTGTGCCCAGTAAGAGCTTTACCCACATTGTAGCATGTAATATATATAAATGTGTTTGGGCAGAGAATGGGATATCAGAGTCTCTGACCTTCTGGGTCCTTTCCAGCTCTGAGAGTCCACTGTTGCATGAGACAACGGGCACTTCTGTAGATTTTGGTTGGTTCTCTGCATTGTGGTTGTTATTTGGACTCATCTCGTGGCCTTTACTAAAGAGTAAACTCTGTGAGGGCAGGGATTGTGTCTAATCTCATTTTTTTTGCTATTCCCTCTCCTCTGCCATGCCCCACACAGGACTAGGCACAGAGTCATCTGTCTGGTCATCTGCTTTCTGGGCTGTGACCAGCAGAGCCCGTACAGTGGCCATTTGGAGAGCCGGTGCCACCTCTGCAGTCATTGTCCCCCTTGCCCCACAGCTAAGCTGAGTTCAGGCAGGCACTTATGGAGCCTCCTCCCACATTGTGTGCCCAGCCCTGTTCTAGTCTGCGGGGAAAACAAGGGCCAGCTCGGGTTCCACCTGTGCAGAAGGAGCTCAGGTCTCATACTGGACAAGCCTCATGAGAAACCATTCAGGTTGGGGAGGGGGCCTCTGGGAGATGGGAGCAGGGAGGGGTCCTGTAGCCAGAGGAGTCGGCCTGGCAGAGCCAGGACTAGAGCTAGGCCTTAAAGGATGGGAAGGTTGAGAAATTGAAGGGAAAAAATAGAATATTCCAGGTTGGAGTAAAAGGATAGCAAGGACAAAGAGGCAGAGGCAGGACTGCCCACAACAGTTTTGGAGACTGGTAGGCTGGCCTGGCGAGAGCGCCAGAGGAGGATAAGTGGGAAAAGATGTTTATGGAATGCCTTGAGTGCCCAGGTCCAGAGCCAGAGACCAGAAATTTGGGTTCAGAAATCAGAGTCCTGGGGGCCGGCCCTGAGGCTGAGTGGTTAAGTTTGTGTGCTCCGCTTCAGCGGCCCAGGGTTTCGCTGGTTAGGATCCTGAATGCAGACATGGCACCGCTCAGCAGGCCATGCTGAGGTGGCATCCCACATGCCACAGCTAGAAGGACCCACAACTAAAAATACACAAGTGTGTACTGGGGGGCTTTGGGGAGAAAAAGGAAAAATAAATTCTAGAAAAAAAAAGAAATCAGAGTCCACATCCTAGAGCCCAGGAACCAGAATCTAGGACTCAGAGCCCAAGGCCAAAGTCCAGAACTCAGCCTTGTCTAAAGCTGTCCTCTCGGTCGGTGTAAGATGCCGCCATGGGGGCTCCACATTCAAGGTGCATGATCTTATTGGGTCACAAGATGGACTCTTCTGATTGGATTGGCCTAGGAAATCCAAGGCCTAGCGTGAGCCCAGAGCCAGCCTGGGCCCACCTGAAGCCTGCCCCCCAGGACTGTCATGAGCAGCTGTCCTGGGTCCTCTCAAATCAGAACATGAAGTCTGGTGTCATCTGCAGCCCAAGCACCTGAGGTGGGACAGGAGTCACCCAGCACATACACCCTCCCACCCCACCCCCTGGCCTTCCGTGCACCCGCTGATACAGGTGGGATCTAGGCTTCTAGGCTGGATCCAGCTGGGCTAGGCCGCCAGGGGGGCGGAACTGTGGTGCCTGCGGTGGTGCCAGCCCAGCCAGCGTGTAGGCATTGCTGTGCGGCCTGTCGCGGAGCACAAGCCTGCCAAGGAGCCGGAGCGCTGTGCCGCGTGGAGGGTGTCAGGGGTGGTATTGTCGGCGCACAAATGCTCAACTTTATGTACTTTTAACTAGAGGTGTAACAGATGGCCCCGTTTCTGTCCAAGCCAGGGAGACTGGTGCCCATTCCGGCTGCAGCCAATCAATCCCGCCACTCTGGGGGGAGCTACAAGCTGGGCTGGGAGGCCTGGAGCCAGCAATCGTGCAAGGCTGTCTGCTCGGGCTGGCCCAGCACTGCCTCCGCCAGCCGCTCAGCCATGGGCTGGGGGAGGTAGGAGGGCAGGCAAGTGGCAGCCATGCCCTGGAGCCCAGTCAGAGGCCTGTCTGGGAAAGAGAGCCTGGACCTGCCCATCAGGACCCAAATGGCCAATGAAGACATTCTAGTCCCCAGCCTGCCCCACTTTGTCCTCATTCTCCTGTGGTCTCTGCTCAGTTCCTAAGCCCCAAATCTCTAGCCTCGAAACACACCACTTCCATATGCCTGCAGTGTCCTGCATTGTGGACACCAGATGTTTCTGGAAACCTGGGGTGGGTGGGGGTGCCTTTGGAAGAAACAGTCACGAGACTGCAGAAGGCTTCAGAAAATGCCTAAGACAGCCAGAGCAGAAAACAGCAGCATCCAGGGATCCCAGAGCTGGGAGAAATTGTTAATTAATCTATTCATGCATTCATACAGTCAGTCAACAAACACTTAATGAAAGCCCACTATGTGCCAAGTCATTTGCTAAGCCCTGGGGGCACAATGATGACTAGGGCATAATTCCTGTCCTTGAAACCTTCTCAGAGGAAGACGGACAAGTACACGGGTAATTGGAGTGATGAGCTAGGGCTCAAGAAAATTTCCACAAGGGCTGTGGAAGCACAGAGCAGGAGCATTTAACCCTGCTTGGAAGATGCAGGGAAGATTCCAGCAGGGGCTGGCTCTGACCTGGGTGTTAAGACTGGTAAGAGTTTTTGTTGGAGGTGAAGGCAGGGAAAGGCATGTGGGGGGGGGGAATAGCATGTGCAAAGACATGGAAAGAAAGAGCACAGGGAAGGTTAGGGTCTGAAAAGATGTGAGTGTGGCTGGGGCTTTGGGTATGGGTGGAGGAGTGGAGGGATGAGGCTGGACAAGGGAGGGGACCAGGCCTGGTAGGTGATGCCTTGGCCTCGTTTCAGCGGGCTGGCAAACTGACCTGGCAGATCTCTTCACTCAATTGCCCCTCCTGTGACCCTATTGCCCCTCACCCTGGGGCCAGAGGGAGTGAGGAAAGGAAGAGGCAAGGCCTGGAGCATGTGGGCAAGGCCAGAACTCAGGGAGGGGACCCTGCAGCATCAGTCCTCCACAGTGATCCTAGTCCTGGCCTTCCTTCTTCCCTGCTTTGAGGGACAAGCCCATGAACCAGGGTGGTGACTGTCCCTTAACCATGTACTCCATGGATTTCTGAGTCTCCTAAAAATAGCCTTTCTGCAGGTTCCCTAGAAAGGACTTGGAATCTTATGCACACATTCATTCATTCATTCATTCATTGGCAAGCAATGAGCATCAGCTGTTTTCAAGGTCCCGGCAGGATGCTGAGGTAGCCAGAGCACTGTGCTGGACTGTGAGGAGC